AGCTAAATTGAATGAATGTAAAATTTTAAAAAGCTTCTCACCTTTTTTTCATTTTTAGAAGTCGTTATTGATCATAAATTAGTTTAATAACAACAACAACAATATGCAAATCTATTCAAATATTTTATTAGTGATTCAATAATTTCACTCAGACAATAAGTGAAAAGAAAAAAAGAAGAGAATTCTTTATACATTTATGAATATATGATTATAATGATTGTAGATAAATTAAAATGATGATAATTCAAAACAGGAAATCGAAATTAAAATTCATTCTAACATAGAAATATGCGAAAGAAGTTGAAAATGGTAGAAAAACAATAAAACTGATAATAATTTAAAATTAAAATATTATCATACTACTAAGAATTATCGTATCATAAATTTATACCTTAATAATTACTCTACCTATGTTAGCAACAATATACCTATACTGAAACTAATAAATTACAAATAATTTTTGATAGCAAAATGAAATGAGACAAATTAATGTACAAACCTGTTGTTGACGAGCTTTTTTACCAAGCCATGTATTAGCGGTTGAGATTGGATGATTTAGTAAGGTAGATGAAGGTGTATCATCATGTTGCTCTTGATCACTTCGTTGAAAAACAACCACCGGTCGTGTTACCATTGATTGTGATTGTGTCATCCTCTCCCTGAAATTATCATAATTGTTGAAATAAAATTAACTTATGCTTAAGGTATAAATAATTACCTTATGCTTAAGGTATAAATAATAACTTATGCTTAAGGTATAAATAATAACTTATGCTTAAGGTATAAATAATAACTTATGCTTAAGGTATAAATAATTACATAAATAATAATATAATAATTAAGTGTGCATTTTTATTTTTTCTTTTTTTTAAGACAAATATGAACAGATATTACAGCTATCTGTTGATGTCAACATTGTAGAATATCGGAAAGAAATATGTGTCATCATATATGAAAGAATAAAGGAGAATAGAAATTTCAAAAATTTAAGAAAAAAATTCGTCTCAAAAGTAATTGTTAAATAAGAATTATTTTACATTGAAATAAAATGATAATTTTAAATTTATGTCAACAGATAGACGATAATTTTAAATTCACATCAACATATGGATGATAATTTTGAAATCATGTCAACATACGAACGATGATTTAAAACCTACGTCAATATATCAAGTCACGTCAACATATGGATGATATGTTAACGTCAACATATAGACAATGATTTTAAACTTACGTCAACACATGAACTTACGTCAACAAATGGATGATGATTTTAAACTTACATCAACATATGGACGATGATTTTGAAATCACGTCAACATATGAACGATTATTTAAAACCTACGTCAACACATGAACACATGTCAACAAATGGATGATGATTTTAAACTTACATCAACATATGACGACGATTTTAAAATTACGTCAACAGATAGATGATGATTTAAAACCTACGTCAACATATGAACTTACGTCAACGACGATGACTTTAATATGGACGATGATTTTAAACTTACGCCAATATATGGATAATATGTTATGTGTCAACATACGGACGATGATTTTGAATTCATGTCAACATACGAATGATGATTTTAAACTTATATTATTTCAAATATATACCTTATCTTTTAAAATATACACTTTAAAAATGAAATACCTTTTATTTTTAATAAAACGTATTCGAAGTAAAAGACGACGCGGTATCGAAAGTACCAATACTACATCATCGATACTCATCGCAGATACATCTACATTATTAACTGATAATATTTCATCACCAGGACGAATGATATCACCATACTTTTCCAACTCTGAATTTTCACCAAAACGAGATGCAAATACACCTGATGACCTGAAAATAATTTCTTCTTTTTTTCTTTTTTTTTCTCCTGCATTTTTTAGCAAAGATATCAATGAAAAATTATGAAAGTAAAAAAGAAGTAAAAATGATAATAGAATGCTTTTGATAAAATAAATGTTGATATAAAATTAAAACTAAATGTTTAATAAAATAAACATTGGAAGACTTTTTTGGAAATTATCTTGATAATATTAATATGTAAAGTATTTCATAAAATTTCAAATTTTTATAATATGAATTTTTCAAATTTGATGTATTATCTTTGCAATAATTAATAGTTTTGTTAATAAATATATAGTTAATAATAGTAGTATGACACGTAATAATTAACCTAAATTGTTCGTTATAAGAAAAATTAACAATTTTTTCATTGGAATAAATTAATTATTAAAATATAAAACTGATTGATTGATTGATTGATTGATTGATTGATACCTGTCAGTACCGTTACCTTCCCGAAGATATAAACCAAGACTTTGTCCTGGTTTTTAATAATTTCTACCAATTGAACAACAATGATATCACCAGTACCAGCAGCTCCTCGTTTTTCCATTCGATATTCTGATCTAAATATTTTTACTTTACTTTTTTCTTTTGTTTTTTAATTTTTAATTTTTCTTCTTTTCAATTCACAATTTTTTTTTTGCAAAATTTATAAATAGAAGAAGCTAATTTAAATATTATCCATTATGAAAAAATGATAATTACTACTGTTATCATATTCAATTAATCTAATTGAATGATAGCATTAAAGGTAAAAAAGAATTTTTAAAAAAAAGAAAAAATTACTCTTATCCATTAATTTAAGAATTCTAAATTTAGAATGGATAAATTAAAAGAAATAAAATATTAATTAGTGTCTCTTTTTTTTTTTGCTTTACATATTATGAGAAAATATAAACTATTATAATTACTAGTATTATTGAAATATTTTAAGCATAATTTTAATAATGTTTACATAATAAAATTCATTATTGAAATTTGCTTATTTAGTAATTTAGTAATTAACATAAACAATTAAAAGTATTTTTATATGGAAAAAATACTTGTCAAGGATACGAGCCGAAAAGCCAGTAATACCAGATGCCGTAAGTGTGGAACATTGTTGATCAACTAGATGAATTTTGCGTACAACATCTTCTGGTAATGAGCATCCTGAAATTATCAGGATTTTTTAAATTGAATATTAATTTAAGGTTTTGAAAACGAAAAAGGAAATTTTGAAATCTGAAATTGCTTAAAGCAATATGCATTTTCAGTTTAAAATTGAAAAATTCATAGAAAAATAAAAATTAATATGTTTCATATTTTTCTTATTTATTTGAAATTAAAATTTTCCCTTTTTTTGGACTTTGTTTTCTTTTTAATTAAAAGAAAGATATTTCAATTATTGATAAAATGATTAGTAGTGCCACAGAAATTATATTGAAATCACTGATATTATCATTGGAATTATATTGAAATCACTGATATTATCATTGAAATTATTTTGAAATCACTGATATTATCATTGAAATTATGTTGAAATTACTGATATTATCATTGAAATTATATTGAAATCACTGATATTATCGTTGAAATTACGTTGAAATCACTGATATTATCATTGAAATTACTTGAAATCAGTGATATTATCATTGAAATTATATTGAAATCACTGATATTGTTATTGAAATTATATTGAAATCACTGATATTATCCTTGAAATTATATTGAAATAGTTGTTAATATCATTAAATAATAA